CGGGCAGGGGGCGGGGCCGGGCAGGGGGCGGGGCGCAACGAACGCCGCTTCCCCGGCCCGCGGCTGTTTTGGGGACATCCGCTAGGTTTAAAGTTTGTCATCGGAATACTAGGCTTGGAACTGCTCGGCATTAGAATTCTGAGCCTCGGTTTCTTAATCTGAAAACTGACGACGAGTGATTGCAATTTATTTCAGAAGCTTGTTAGGAGGATCCGTTGAGACTGCGTTCTCCACAGTGCTTTGAAGGGCAGGGAAAGACCTTGACACAGTACGGCCAGTATAGACACAGAACGCAACCCAGGAGTCCTCGAGGAAATAAATGTGAATTGGAATCGCTGGCTGCCATTTTCCATTTGTTAGATTGCCAAAGATTCACAAAATAATAATAGTTATTTCTCTTTTGGGCTTCCTATATTCCAGGCACTCGCTATTCATGATGCTTTATTAACTCATTTATTCCACGTAAAGGGATGTACTTTATACTACATACATGAACAGTAGCGAGCTATTCCTACCTCCATTTCACAGGTAAAGGAACAGGGGCACCGAAAAGTTAGTGGACTTGCCCCAGGTCTCACAGCTAGTAAGACCGCGGCAAGTATTTAGTCAAGATTCGCAGGACAGTGGTGCACCCAAAGGATCAGGCCCACAACCTTTGTTCCTCTAAGTGGCAGGAATTAAAACCGATGACAGCGAGTGGCTGGTCCAGATGGACACACATGCACTTCCAGTCTGAGGTGACACATCTTTGCCGGTGGCTGGCTTAGCACTAGATTCCAAAAGCCTTAAAAGTGAGCATGACCACACACAGAAATAATCACTGTGTGATTCTAGTTACATGACATACCTAAACTTTAGGAAATAAAATGGAATGGTGGTTGCCAGAGGCATGGGTGGGAGCAATTATTGTTCAATGGTTATGGAATTTATTTTGCAAGATAAAAAAGTTCTAGAGGTCCGTTGCACAGCAGCGTTAATACTATTGTGCTGTACACTTAAATATGGTTGAAATGGTATTTTTTTTGCCCCAACTATTAAGTAAGCAATTTCACATTAATAAGATATCCTAATAATCAGAGATAGCACTATTTCTAAGAGAAAACAGCTGGAAACAGCCAAAATCTTTATAGCAGCGGGTTGATAACTGATGGGGTAGCTACGATGGAATTCTGTGCAGCCATTAAAATGACACAGAAGAATGTTCATTGTCATAATAGAATGTTTTTAGAATATTAAATAAGAAAGCTACAAAGAGACATATACATCTAATCACAATATATGTTTTATAGTTTCAGGTTATATACACAAGATCGTATACACACAGAAAAGAGAACAGGCAAAACACACCAAAATCTTTAGTGCAAACTGCCTTAAGAGTAGGGATGATGATAATTTGGTTTTTTTGAGACAGGGTTGCACTCTGTAGCCCAGACTGGCCTTGAACTCACAGTGATCCTCCTGCTTCAGCCTCCCAAGTGCTGGGATTACAGGTGTGTACCACCATGCTCAGCCTTAGGGATTATTTTTATCTTCTGTATGCCTTGCTGTATTTTCTGAAATTTCTACAGTGAACATTTATATTTTAGCAATTGAAAGTATAATAAATGTTATTTTAAAATTTCTCTACAAATTCTAATTGGGTTGTTATTCACAAAAATAACCAAAGCAGAGTCAATTTTACTATCACATGCACTGGTCATTTGGAAAATATTGGTTGGTCAAGGTATGCATATCTTTCAAATGGTAGCACAGTTCATTATACAACATCAAGAAATCCCCTCCATTACCCTATCTATCACTACCAGTCTCATCAGAAAATTCTTTCATAATGGATAAGCTATTAGGTGCATGGTAGTAGATAAATTTTTTTCAGAATTTTAATTTTCACTCAGAAGATTATGTTTTTTCTTTGGCAATAAAAGCTGTTAGTTTCTTTCTTTTTTTTTTTTTTTTTTTTTTTTCCCATGAAACAACAGCTGTAGCTCTGTCTCTGTGGAGAAAAAACCTGCCAGGCTCCAGAGTGTGAAAAACCACAGCGTCTCAGTTGTGTGGTCAGGTTAGAAAAGTGCTCCCTGAGCTTAGTGGCTGTTTCACCTCCTGTCAGTCACCGAAGTGTGTGACCTTGCGGAAGTCCTCACACATTAACACACAGCAGGACGGCTTTTGTACCCTTCCTTTTTGTCCCACAGAATACTGAAAGATAGTTTTCTGAGGACTGAGTTTAATGAAGTCAGTAACATTTGCTGCAGTTTGGTGCCACTTGTTGATGGGTATTAAGGAACCAGTTGTCTTATGCATCCGGATTTTGTAGTGTTTTTGAAAATATCAACACAGTGGAAAAGGCAATAACGGACATGGTTTTGCCTGCCTGGTGGACCTCGGGAGGGTCGCAGAATTAGGTTCATGGACCATGAGAACCGCTGCTCTTGAGGAACTCTTGGACTTGTGAGTTGGGAAACGTTTCCATCACGAATTTCTGGGCAGTATTGTTTATAAAAGCAAAAGCTCATAAACAACATGCAGTCTGTGAGGAAGGGACCGGACTGTCAGTGTATTTGTACTTCTGTGAGGCAACCTGGGTGAATTTTTTTTCTCTTTTTTTGTGGCACTAGGGATGGAACCCAGAGACTTATACACTGCATGAATTGCAATATCCTCATTTGTACTTCCTCAAAGTGGAGTGAGACGCGTCCTTCAGTGCAAGAGTTTATTTAGGAAGTGATCCCAGGAAGCAGAAATGGAGGTGAGAAAAAAGAAAGGCAAGCTGACAGACTGTATATTTTTGAGCTACTTCTGAGTGTGTACTACAGTGGCTCCCTCCCACTGGGAACTTTCTGGGGAGTCATAGAGCAGGCATCTCAGAACTGTCCCTCCTGACTCTCTTCCCTGTGACTTGATGCCCCCTGGGCATTACCTTGGTGAACTGGGCTGCCCGTAGGCTGAACTGCCTACTAAGGCTTTGCAAAGAGTCCAAGACAGGTAAACAAAGAGATGCTGTGGCCTGTGAGGTGTCATCTGGCAGCTTCCTACATGTCTCAGCTACACCTAAATCGAGTGAGCTCGGGGGCATAGTGTGGTCACCACCGGTATCCGCTAGGCTCAGAAACTGATGTTAAGAGAGAAAAGAAAATTGGGGAATTCGGTGCCATGGATGTATCTCTATGAAATCCAAAATACATAGAAGAAGTACATAATGCATTGTTAAGAATACAATTATGGATATTACAAATGTAAGTTTTTGGATATATGAAAGCAAGATGGGTGGAAAAGAGTTTATCACATGTTGAGGGACAGTCAGCAAGTTTGCTTGTCAGAACGCACACGACAAGGTGTAGTTAGAGATAAAGGCAGCAAGTGAGAGAACTGACTAACTGGTGGTGCCTTGAAAGCCAGTCTTCTTTTTTTTTCTATTTTTTTATTTTTTAGTTTTTTCCGGTACTGGGAATTGAACTCATGACCCTGTGCTTGCCAGGCAGATGCTGTGCCACCAAGCTAAATCCCCAACCAATCTTCTAATTCACTCTGATTTGAAAAGTGAAGGGGAACAGCCTTGCAGAAAGGGTGGGACAGGATCCATCCTATCCCAGGAAGTCCCTGAGGGCGGTCAGTGCTGGAGGAAGAGGGAGCTGGGGCAAGGCCCCTCCTACCCTGCAGCGCTCTGTGCTTCCCTCGCTTTCAGGGAGCCGCTTCTTGTCTGTCCCTTTATCAGGGATGCACAGGCAGGGCGTTGCTTGTTTGTTTACGGACAACTAGAGGGGAGGCTGTGGGGCGAGCAAGCTCCCGGCTTAGAGTTTTGATCCTTGGAATAAAATATGAGCTTTCCCCAAGCCCACCCGCCAGGCCCTTCCTGACCCTCTAGCCCTTCTGCCTGATGCCAGATCCCCCAATGGCGCAGGGAGCGTTCCCAGCTCGGAGACTCCAGCTCTGCCACTGAGGGACAAGGGCCTCGGATTCCGCAAGTGGTGAGTTGCTTCCCTGTCCCCTCTTTTCATTCTTTCAAGTCTCTTACTTTCTTAGGTTCTTTAGAGAAATACTTCCCTTTCTTTTACTTATTTACTAGGACATTTTAAAGGATAAAATGGGGCAACAGTTAACTGTTATTTAAGGAACGTGTGACAACAGAGCTGGATGTGTTTTATTTAAAGACTTACTTAGTTACTCTTGTCATCATTATTACTGTCACAGCCCTCAGTATTTGCTGGGTCTTGTGCTGTATGATTTTGGACGGATCATTTGTACATTTGTAGGATCTGTTCAGGCTGGTTGGGATTGGCAAAGAAATGTCCGAGGCGATCTTTAACTTAGAAATTTTTAAAAAATTAAATTGTTTCAAATTTAAAATGTACATGACTGCCATATTCCCAACATGGATAGTGGAGGAGAATAGTTACTATGTGAAGACTTTTGCAAGCCATTGAGAGATAAATGCTGCAGTAAAGAAGTGAAGAAAGTAAGTAGATCACTGCGAAAGTCCAAATAACAAATGAGTTGTCAAAGATATACAAACGAGAGCGAAACACCACCAAATTTTTAGAAAAGAGGTATGATTTTGTCATTTATTATGTGGACAAAAAGTTTTAAAAATTGATAATATCCACTGAAGGCAAGGTTGTATGAAAACAAGGAATTTTGTATACTTTGTTCAACTGACATGACTTTTCTGGTGGGTAATTTGGCACACAAATTAAAAATCTTACTGTTTTAAAAATGCAGCTGGGCATGGTGTGCATTCCTGGAATCACAGCTACTTTGGAGGCTGAGACAGGATGATCATGCATTCAAAGCTAGTCTGGGCAACTTTGTGAGACCTTGTCCCAAGATAAAAAATAAAAAGAGTTCTGATGTAGCTCAGTGCAAAGGCCCTGGTTTCAATCCCAATACCAGAACCACTAAAAACAAACAAATAAGAAAAAGATGAGACATTCTCAAAGCCTAAGAGTTTAAATGACTTGGTTGAACTCATAGAGACACTTAAGTTAGAGGCTACACCATCACCAGGACTCGGCCTCCTACCTCCAGCTATTACTGGTAGCAGTGTTCAGTATAGCAAGCCCCTGGAAACAGCCTAAAAACCCTACTACAGAATTATTTAAAAATTCTCATATATCCATGATAGAACATTAGAGCCATTAAAAGAATAATTGATGGCATAGTAGAATATGTGTAATGTAATGCTTGGTGAAAACGCCAAGTATCAAAACAACAGATACAGTCTGTATAGTCCTTTTTTTTTTTGGTACTAGGAATCGAACTCAGGACCTTGTGCTGGCCAGGAAGGCACTTGTGCCACTGAGCTATATCCCCAGCCTCCTATTTTTTAAAAGGTTATATACATGCCTAGAAAAATATTATCTCTGGATGGAGGAATTACAGACAGTTAATTTTTTTTGGTCTTTTTTGGAGGTAATTTTCAGATTTTCCAGTAAGAAGTACAAAAAAAATCCCCAAATTGTGCCATATTTTTAGGAAGTAAAATACTTCATATTTATTACGGGAAATTTCTTCATAAAAGAATTCCATTATAAAGGGGGAAATCATTTGCTTATTTTGCAACTCATGGAAACAGAGCTACGCATTCACTCATCACTTATTCATGCATCTATTTATCCATGCTTTACGTTCCAGAAAGGTCCTGGTGCCTTTCCTTGCATGGTACTCTGACATGTGCATGGTTGCCCTTCCTGTTCCAAGTGAAAGAAGGCAATCCCACCAGTATTGCATGTCTATATCTGTTTTCATGAGAAGCCACTTTGAAGATATCAATATGTAATACAACCACCATTGTTAATTCCCTACCACTTTGTT